ATACTGGGGTGCCCAGAACTGCACACAGTACTCCAGGTGTGGCCTCGCCAGAGCTGATGGTGCTTGCCAGGACACGGCAAGGCTGATGTCTAGGCAATCTGGGCAACGTCTGCTGCACTGCAGCCTTAGTYGTGGGTCTCCTGGGACCTGTGCGAGGCCAAAGGATGTCCTGGAGCCGGGGGAGGATGAGAGTGTGATGGTGCTGCTGCTCCCTCTCTCTGCCCGGGATCTTGTCAGCCTCATTTTTTCAAGCCTGTGGAAATCAGTAGCAAAGAACACTTCTCCTAAATGGTCTTTAAGGAAAAAAAATATATTCCATTAAAACAAAAGTTTTGCATTGAGAAAACTAAGTTTGGGATTTCTTATCATTTAGAATTGTGGCGGCATGATATAATATAATATCTGGCTTGCTTTAGATAAACAAGGTGAGAGAAACGGACGGGCTGCGTTTCAGCGCGGTGGCTCCGGAGCGCAGGGAGCGCCAGGCGCAGCAGGGAGCCCCGGGCAGCTTCCCGGCGCTGCGGGAAGCGGTGAGCGGTGCCGCAGCCGCCGCGCGCCTGGACATGTAAATAATTCACCTTGGGTGCCAAGGAGATGCTGGTGATACCGTGTTTAAGAAGCTGGATCCCATTCCAGGGAGGAGCGGCGTGGGCACCACCAGCCTCTCGGGAAACGGCGCCGGGCAGCAGGGCTGCTCCGCTTGCTGCACGGACCTGCCTTCGAGCCAGGGCAAATACCGGGAAGGAGGGAGCGGAGCTCCCTTGTGCCGAAGGGAAAAGTGGGATTGGAGGTCAGTTTTTGGAAGGAAGGGAAAAATAAGGTTGTACTCCTTGTTCTCCCTTTTATTGTTGCCTCCAAAGGATGTATAATTATATCAAAACAAACAAAAATGCCTTCCCTCCCCTTTCTGGAATACTCTTCCCCTGAAAACAACTTCAAAAGGAAACGAAACGTCCAGGAAAAACAAATTCCGCTCTCATCAAAATTTTGGATGCCCAAAACATTTGAGGTCAAACGTCAGAAAAGAAAATCCTGAGGAGTTTGGACAGAGATTGTTACGAACCAGATTTTGACCACAGCCCCAGAGGGATCACGRGGAGGGCCCGAGCGGCCGGGATAGGGACGACTTGTTGTCCTGCTCCCTCCTCGCTACTGCTGTGGACAAGGGGCTGAGGAGACTTGGAGAGCAGAGCTCCTGAATGAGAGCAGAGGGAGCAGCGCCTGGGAATGAACGTGGTTCTTCATAACCCTGTTCAAGATCCTGGGCACAAGGCCCTGCTGCCTGGCGCTTAAGCCTCRATGGGGCTTAAGCCTGAGAGCTTAAGCAGCGGGGGAAAGAAGAGAGCTTTTTCCTTTGCCTGATGTCTTTGAGTAAGACATGAAAATCAAAAAGGAACAAAACAATGTGTGGAAGACTGGAAAAAAAAGAAAAAGAAGAAAAAGAAAAAAAAAAAGGAGTGTAGTCTAATTAATCCCATTAAGTAATAGCACATGACCGTAGAGAGAGATGCAAAAAGTTGATACTGTCACAATATGCATGCCCTGCCTAGGGCTCTGAAGGCCCTGGAAGAAAGCTCAGCACAGCTGGAAATTTCTCCCATCTGAAGCAGTGGCCGCGGTARTTGTTTGATTAATGAACCCAGTAAATCCCAGTGTCACTAGGAAACGCGTCTCGTYGCAATTAAAATGTAAGCGCCACTTACTCGAGGCACTGCGTATACGTTGCCATACATTTGGGTACACACTGGGCATACACTTAGGCAGCAAAKCACTAACAGAATGCATCACAACAGCCAGCTTCGTGTTTTGATGACTCGGCTCGCTTTGCCAGCAGGGCTTGGATGGTCAGGGATGTCCCACCAGTTGCAGGAGGAGATGGGCTTGCAGCATTGCTCCCTGATCCCTGCAGCTGTTTCGTTGTGCTGGGTCAGGGTTCCTGTGCGTGGATGTCACCGTGGCAGGCCCCTCTTTGGAAACGGGAGYGGGGACCTTTGGCGCGTGTCACTATTGCTTTTATATCCAGCAGGAGCCGTAGCTCCCGGCTTAGATCCGCTGAGCTAGGAGCGCGGCGTTGTCTCCTGCAGGCCAGGGTGGGAGTGGATGYGTCTCAAGTGCTTCCAGCTGTCCCTGTTCCCCGTGGTTTCCCTGCCGTCGTGTCCTGGCTCCCCTACATGGCTTTAAGGTCCCCAACACYGGGTGCTCCCTGCGTCGCACAGGCTGCAGCCCGGGGGGCAGGGGGTGATCAGCGCCCCACAGCTGCTGTGTGGGAGAGAGATGGCACCAAGGGCAAYCATCAGCAGCCCCTCGGGCTCGGGACGAGAGCTTAATGCCAGCAGAACCGCCTCGTAGGAAACCCTTGAAAACCCCAAGCGGTCAAGCAGCTGTCCTAGAGTTTAGGGCTGGCTGGTGGAGCACTGTTGGCGAGAGCAGTGCCCCCATTTTACTCCTTTCTTCAGTGCTCAAAGTATTTACTTTTTGTTAAAGGTTGCTAGCAGCCAGGGCAGCGTAAAGAGAAAAGGCTGAGAGATGGGCTGTTGGCCAGGCTGCAAAAAGAGCAAAGCAGTAGTGCCGTGGGAAATGGTAAATTTCTCTTCCTGAGTAAATGGTAAAGAGCAAAGCAGTAGTGCCGTGGTAAATGGTAAAATTTTCTTCCTGAGTAAATGGTAAAGAGCAAAGCAGTAGTGCCGTGGTAAATGGTAAAATTTTCTTCCCGAGTAGTGGTGAGATGCTAAAGAAGTTTGCACTTAGAAACAAGAGATGGGTTTGGGGCTGTGCCCTCTCCAAGGCTGCCAGCCCCTTGGCAAATGGTAGCCCGTTTGTCACTGCAGTTTAATAACAGTTTGGGACACACTGACCACTGCACTTCTCTATTTGTCACAGTGACTTATCTGTCTGGATCTGACTCTGCTTTAAGGGCTTTTTCCCATTAAAGAGGACTGGAACGGCTGCATCTGGCACCCTGGAATTTACTGTCACCAGGGCGATGTGGGACCAAACAAAGCAGCATCCTTGTGTCCTTAGCTCCACCAGGAAAGGCTGGAGCCAGAATTTGAGCAATTAGCGGAGCAGGAGGGCACAGCAATTGAATGTGAAAAGYTCGTCCTGTTGTCACTCTTGATGGTGTAGCCCTCTGAACGGTGCATTGGCCCTCAGGAGATAATTTTTCCCTGTCAAAGACTGAATGAGTGAAAAAGTCAAATTATTTATAGGAATTGCTTTTCTGGACACGTGTTCGGTATTTCCCAAGCGTAGCAAACTTAGTGTAAGATTTTTTTCTTTACTGAATTAGATTAACGATTTAAATTCCKCCATAATAAACTGTTTAAGATGCCAAAGCATACACCAAATGATTTTACACCTGACAGAGGTGCTTACCTCTATCTTTAACACTACTTTCCATTGGAAAAGCCCCCACAGATGGTGATACGGTGACAGCATCATTGGTGGTACTTTTTGCCCGGGACACATTTCACTTAGACACTGTGTACGTGCACAGAAGCAATTTCTCCTTCACCCCCTGAATAAAATAGAACTGAATTTTCAGTTCTTGCTATGGCCGAGAACATCTGCCTTTATAAATGAACACTCACTCTATTGCGCTTTCCTGCCTTGCCAGCCTTCCTAGAGCAGCGTTTGCTCTAGGTTTTGGAAGTCGTGGGCACCCGTATTCAGCCCAGTTTTGAAGCACGCAGTGGTTGGCAGTCATCTCGTTCTCATGAAATACGCAGCCATTTTCAGCCAAATATCATTCTTGTTATAAACTATACAGCACAACAAAGCCGTGCTCCGTGTAGGAGGGGAAGTACAAGAGCAGCCTTTACAACCAGCCCTCCTTTTTGCCACCTACAAAACAAGATTTAACTAATACAGTGGCCCMGCTGTGTTAGCATTTCTAACAGTTTTTATTCCCAGGCGGTGTATAAGGCAACGGGCWATTTTGTTGGTGGTGGTGGTACCACAAAAGCCAGTAGTTCCACAGCAGCCAAGGCAGAAGGAAGCAGAGGAGACTCCTTCGGGTGGATACAGGGAGTGAGAGCGTTTGTGGAGCCAGGCGAGGATCGCTCCTCCAGCTCCATGGCAGAGAGCTGCTCGCGCCACGCGAGGCGCCCGTTTCCAGACGTGGAGCTCTTTGTGAAGGTGAGGTTTTCAAAGCCGTCGAACAGCAGGGAGAACTTTGGGCTCGATTTGAGATGTTTCTGGCAGCGCTGACAAAGGCCAAGCAGAACTGGTTGCATCACTTGGCCCTATAAAGATCACCTACAAGCATAACGAACTAACCCTTTAACGGAGCAAATGACACGCTTTGCTTCTATTTATTTATTTATTCCTTTGGCCTTTGTACCCTTTAAAGCAGGTTTTAAGACCGCACACTTCCGGGGAATCCCGAGCAGAGCCGGGAAGCTGGGAGCTGCCCTCTCGTGCAGCMGCAGCCACAGCACGGGGCTTCGCTGGTTCACTTCAGCACTTGTTCAGCTCCCCTGTGCACCTTCCTTCCCTCTCCCTCCCTGCGCCCCACAATTGTTCCGTTTAAGACACTTAATTATTCGATTTATTCTGATTATTCCTTTAAGTGCTTCGGGCATTCCTTCTCAATTTATGCTGGTAAACCTTTTTATACCTGTTTGCTGTGATCGTCAACTGGTTTAAACTTTTCTAGTCTTGCAGTGATTTAGGTAGATTTCTGCGCACTCAGACGAATGAGGCGGAGATTTTACCCATGGGAGGAACGCCGTGATTCCAGTTTTGTTTTTTGGCTTGATGAAAACATTCATCATAAAGCAACTTTGTGTGGAAATACCTATTGGTAGAAACAAGTAACATGTCATACATACTCACAGCAAATATGTATTTTCTGTTGTTCTACTGCATCTGCTCTCAAAATGTGCAATTATAGATGTATATATCCCTATTATTTTCTATTTGCAGGCTGGCAGTGATGGGGAAAGTATTGGAAATTGCCCCTTCTCGCAGCGTCTCTTTATGATTCTGTGGCTAAAAGGTGTCATATTTAATGTCACAACCGTGGATTTGAAAAGGTGAGAATACAATAGGAGTAGTCGTTTTTCAGAGCAGCTTTACCAAGACCAGTGATTTGAAAGGGTGGATCTCTCTGACACSGTCTCTCTTTGTCTCTCTTTGACAGCTTTGAAAAGCACACACAAATTAGCAGGTTATTGACACTGTGCCTTGCTATTATGGCAGCAGTTTGTATGCCTGATTCCTCTTYAATGTTCCCTAATATAAAGTAGGCTAACGCCTTTGAAGCATTTGAGATTTTAATCTGTTTTGCAGTAGGTCCCTGTAACATAAGACYGAAGTTTTAGCTTTTCAGAGCACGGCTAAGGGTGGGCTAACAAATTCTCACAACGCCAGTATGAGGCAGCTGGATCTGTTTTATTTTATAGGCAAGGCAGATAGCAATCTGGTATGGTGAAGCTGAAACGGCTCGTTGCAACTGAGTGTAGAAAGCGAGGATGTGGTTCGTGCCGTGATGACCCGGGTCTCTTTCCTCCCGCCAGGAAGCCCGCGGACCTGCAGAACCTGGCGCCGGGAACCAACCCCCCCTTCATGACGTTTGACGGTGAGGTGAAGACCGACGTCAACAAGATCGAGGAGTTCTTGGAAGAAAAGTTAGCGCCGCCCCGGTACGGTGTCCCCAGCCACTTGTTGTTCACAGCCCCTCGTGGGCCCTGACGGGGCTCCTTGGCAGAGTCCCATTGGTTCCATGCAGAGTTAGGATGAGCACGGGGAGCTTAAGAGACTCTGGTCCAGCCGCTGCAGTCGCTGTGGTGCTTGCCCCAGGCTGCTGCTTGTGCTCTTCCACTGCCTTCTCCTTCACCCCACGCTCCTGTTAGGCCATTACAGTCACTCCCAAGGCAGGAAATCCACCCTGCTGCAGCAGGTGTGTGCAGAAACCTGCATACCACTGCAGAAACCYGACCTCCTTCCCTCCGTTTGTGTGCGTCTGAGGTTTCCCTCTTCATGCTGAACAAACAATTGTGCTTTCTGGGAACAAGGAGTTAGAAGAAAAACCTTGGTGAGAGCCACCTCCGTGCTAGGCGTCCCGGGGCAAGTACTGTGAGCACCCATTTGGAGCAATAGGGTGGGACAACCTCAGTGCACACCAGGAGCTGGCACTGGGGCTTGTCCTTCCCCATSCCGGCAGCTCTTCCCACCTCTCCCAGAGCTGGCCCCACTGCCAGCCCCACCACCAGCAGCACCTTATCCCCCACCCACGCACCATTTCTCCGCTGCTCTCCGCAACATCCCCATCTCAAACCACCAAACCTGACTTCAGCCATGCTAGCAGTCATCCCCCTTCCCTTTTTTCCCTCCTTTGTGCCCATGGCAGCAGCAGCAGCTCCTGGCCAGGCCTTGCTGAGCTTGCCAGCGCAAGGAGGTTGGCAGGAGCAGCACTCAGAGCTGCTCAGGATGTTCCCTCCTTGCAGCAAAGGCCACGCTCTGCTCAGCTTGTCCCCACTGGAGGCGGCCTGGAAGAGGCACTGGGKTGTCTGGGTGGCATTTGCAGCATGAGCTGCTGTTTTCCGTCTCCCCCGGGAAGAGGAGGTGAGCCACATGGTTTGGGAATGGGCCAGAGGCCCTACTGCCCAAATGAGCTTTAGTTTGTGGTGGTTCCCTCTGGAAGCTCTGTGCAATCGTGTGTTGTTGCAAAGGAGTCATGCTGCAGCTTAAATCATTATATTAAATAATTAATGGGGACTGAAATAAAAAAGTGGCTTGTCACTTAACGTTTTTTGTTTCTTTTCATTCCTCAGGTACCCCAAACTTGCCCCAAACCACCCTGAGTCTAACTCTGCAGGAAATGATGTGTTTGCAAAATTCTCTGCCTTCATAAAGAACCCAAGAAAAGATGCTAATGAAAGTATGTGCTAAATAGTCCTCTCATTGGCCCCAGTAGCTTCTGGAACAAACTGTACTGTACAGTTCTTAGCATTCTGTGCTGTAGATATACCCTATTTGCAGTTTTCCAATGCTTTGGAAACCTGGGCCCATTCTGTCTCCTAGTTGGGACTCCCCAAATTAGTTTGCTGAGATACATGCTGCTTGCTTGGGGGCACCATCTCCAGCTCCTGTCTGATTCTTCAGCCCCCAGACCCATAACTGCATCTCCCCTGTGCCTGTGCTGCAAGAGCTGCCTGCTCAAAGCAGCACCTTGGCTTCAGCTCTGCCATCWGCCTTCCTTCTGGTGCCTTTCTCCTCCACTTGGGTCACTGATGACGACTCTAACCCCGAGGCTCTGCATTCCCATGTCCGTATCTGGATTCAGTCACTCCATACTGAGCAGACCCAGTCTGGTTTTCTCAGAAGCAAATAGAGCTCCTTAGGGCTCTTATCCCAGCATTAGGTTTTAAGCTTAGGATAAAGGAATTGCAGGAGTTGGCATGGTAGGGTGGCTGCAAGCTGGCCTGGTGCCAGGGAACAGAAGGCAGAAGTTGCTTCTCTGCAAGGACTCAAGAGAGACCTTGGTGCATAATGACCTTTTTATTGTCTTAACCTAGATTTGGAAAAATCTTTGCTTAAAGCCCTGAGGAAGCTGGACAACTACTTAAATAGCCCCTTGCCAGATGAAATTGATGCYTACAGCACCGAGGAGATCACAGTTTCCAGCCGCAAGTTCCTGGATGGGGATGAGCTCACGTTAGCAGACTGCAACCTCCTGCCGAAGCTCCATATAATTAAGGTTTGCATTTGCATTTCAGCGTTTCCAAGGGGAGGGAAACGCAGAAGCCCAAGTTCACTTCTAGAGAGCAGAGGAACCCTGTATCTTCTCTGAAGCTGCATAGCAGCTGTCTAGATGTAGGGACAACAAATGCTCATGTGCAAGGCCATTTTAGTAGAGCAAAGCTAAGCAGTTGCTCACATTGATGACTCTACAGATAGAATATGTGGTTTCGTATTTGGGTCATGACTGCACTCTCTAGGTATCACACAAGTATTACATGAGTAAGATTCTCTATTCAGTGCCACGGAGAAATGTTTCCCTTCGTATTTCACATGCAAGGTGCCAAGATAAATGACTTCTGTCCATGCCAATTCCTCCCCCAGCTCAAAACTCCTGCTTTGCTGAACATCACCAGTAATACCAGTCACACTGACTGGGAACACAGCACCCTTCCAGCCAAGACTCCCAACCCCCTTTTCACAGGGCTGTGGAGCATCCACACACATCTGGCAGTGCTGGGGACCAAGCAGGGCTTTGCTAGAGCTTGTCCCCAGGCTGTTCCAGAGCCAGCTAGGTGCTGGAAGAGGAAGGGACACTTTGGAAATTCATTTGGTTTCTATAAAAACACGATCACTTCAGGAAGTTGCAGTTCTGTTTTGTTAGAGGAGGAGTGGATGGAGTTTCCTTTGTGACACCTTTGTGAATGATAACTTGTCTCAGGAGACCTCATGGTTGAAACCAATCCACAGGCAGCAGCAGCAGGAGAACACAGCCCTTTCCCATTCCCTGGGGCACTGTTCAGAGGGTGAGCACGTAACAGACAGGGGTTGATCAATAGGGCCCTTGCGAAGGGAATGGCCTTGTGTCAGATGAGTGTCTCAAGCCACCCTYGCTGACCCACAGAGAAGCACTTGGTAACAGCCAATAGTTGTTCTCCCCAGCCTTGTGAAATTTAGTATTTGAAGTTTTTCTGTTTTAAGCAAAAATTTTCAACTGTGGGCCAACTTATTACTGTAAGAGTACTTTGTTCATTCTGGTTTACGCTAGTTCTCTTGCTTTTTTAAGCTCCATCTCCTCCAGGAGGTGTGGTCAACTGGCATAACTCTAGCAGAATATTTATACTAAATAAATCCTTTTGAGCGAGCTAGCTAGTTAGCTGGCTTTGTCTGTTCCACGTCTTCTTCCTTTTTTTTCTTGTTTTTCTTTTCTTTCCCCTTGCCCCCACCAAAAAGTAAATGTGAAAGACATAGGAATAGTTATAAAGAGCAAATTTCTTTTATGAAGTGTGGTGTGTAATAATTTTATTCTTTTTTTTTTCTTTTAATAAAAGGTTGTTGCAAAAAAATACAGAAATTTTGAGTTTCCACCTGAAATGACAGGGATTTCAAGATACTTGAACAATGCATATGCCAGAGATGAATTTACAAACACTTGTCCTGCTGATCAAGAAATTGAGTATGCCTATTTGGATGTTGCAAAGAGAATGAAGTAAATGGAAGATGCTTCTGTTTTTCTTTACTTCTAAGGTTTGGATGGGCACCAGCCAAGATGGAAAAAAAACAGACAATCTAAAAGAAAACTATACACTCTTCAGTGTATGTTCTGTCACTGGCCAATTCTTCTTTTACAGGAATTGTACAGCATCATTTTCTCATTCTTAAATTATACATGTACATGTTTGTGTCTCTGTACAGATGTATACACACACAAATGTGTGTGCTGCATTCCAGGTTAAAGGCATCAGATTGATACTAAGCCATTCGTTGGAGTTAGGAGAACGATGCAGAAAACACAATTAGAGAAAAAATACAGACTAGTGACTTAAAAATTACTGGATTTGGGGAAGACATAGCACTTTTTCTCACACATATCTAACCTGTTGCTATTGCTGCCTCTGATCCCTGTTCTGTATTTGTTGCCAAACTTCACAGTTAYCGCAAAGGTTTCTGTTTGCTTCTCCACAAGTATCGGAGGGCCGCAAGCCAACTCTTGGCATGCCCACAGCACCCTGGCTTATCCAGGAGAAAGGCCAGGTGGGACCACACCGGCCTCTCGGGAGCTCTCTCCTCTCTGCTGGGGACCTGTAGASCAGGTTGACAAAGAGCGACTTCCTTGGACATCGCTCGAGTCCCTCCTCGGTATTTAGTTTTTCTCAGGGCTGCATGACCTGCCCAGCCTCCTCCTTCCTGGTKGTCCCTGTCAAAGAGGGGAACACAGGCTGGCCCTGCCCTGTAGGCTATCTGATGATAAATAAATAATAAATTTGACAAGGGAGGTTTGTTTGTAGAGACAAGGAGCGGGAGAACATCTGTTCCCAGCGACTGAGGTGGGGTTGCTCTTTCCTGTCCTTCTATGACTCCCATTTATTTTGGAAAGAGGAGGAGAAGGGCTAAGCCAGAAATAGTCCTTAGTCGCTCTGCCCTGCTGGTTGAGTTCCAGTGTGGTGGATTTCSCAGGGCACCTTCATCGCCGAGAGCTTCACAGCTGACCAGAGAGGTGTCTAACCAGGGCCGAGACAGATGCTGCTGGTGCCGCAGCTGGGGGATGCATTAGATGGGCCCCTCCAGCCTTGCAGGAATGTGTGCTCGAGGCAGCTGGCAGTGGTGAGAGGTACCTTCCAGCCTGGCAGGTGAGGACCTTGGAGATGTTTGGCCTGTGAGGAGGTGCATCCGCAGCTGCCTTTCGCTGAGCAGGCCCTCAGCAGGCAAGTAGGCGTAGAAGGCGCAGCGCTTTAGCGATAGGGTTGTGTGGAAATTTCCTTTGGATGTGTTTTCCCTGTGTGTGCAGCATGTGAAAATGGCTTAAAATAGCTTATTTTGACATCTGTATCCACAAAGAGACTGTTACAGAATAATCATTCATCTTTGCCCATGTCAGACATATACCACTTTCTACAAAGCTTTACTTACAGTAGCAGTAGGTGCCAGGTATGTTGTACCTGCTTACTCCTACACACTGCATATATACAAACACACACACATATCATCCTGTGTCCTACAACTGTGAGTTCTGATTCAAACTCATACCAAAAGTGTTTGCAAACAGCATTAAATACAGAGTTTTAATTTGTCTTCTTTAGAAAACAGACACAGTATCTTTCCCTTCCCTCCTTCAGTTCTAAATTTTTGTATTGGGGATGGTAGCTGAGCAGTCACTCATCAAATATTACTAACTGCTACTTTTTATTTTCAAATATATATGTATAAATAAAATATATAAGACATAAAATCTATATACTCTTTTCATATGCCTTACAAATTTAAATATAAAATACACAAATCCATAAATAATTTGAGCAGTGTCCTGTCATTATTTCCTTGGTAATTTCCTGACAAGATACATTGCAAGAGTGGCCTGATTTTAAGAAATCAGGGGCAAAGTTTAACCAAACTTTGATTTATCTTCAAGGAATTTCCTAGGTCGCAGACTTATAGTCAAAACTGGGGAAAAAATGGATAAATACCAGATGTGTTTGCTAGTGCTGAACCAAAAAAAAAGGTAGGACCAGGACATAAGTGCTGGCCTCAGCAGTTGGCAGTGAGGAACGGCACCAAATGATCCCCAAATCAGGCACCAATGCCCAGATCAGGGGTGCACGTAGGTGAGAGCGATTCTGTCTGGTCCAGTATCAGTCACAGAAATACTAAGGATGGATGGAAATCTGTGTGTGAAAGAACTAGAAGAAACCAAGCAACCTGGCTTCAGAGAGGGTAGCTGATGGCCACAGGGCATCGTAACAGTGAATTCACCCAAAGGAACAGAAAGCAGGAAGATGAAGAGCAAAGTGAAGCTCAAAGTGAAGYTAAAGAGATAAAGAAGAACTGGAGAGGAGCCATGAAACACCCTGATAAAGAAGCGAAAAGAACAATGAGCCTCGGGAATTTACTTATTTGCCTTAGAGTCACAAAGGTTAAGACAAGATCCTGGGCTATAAGCCCCCAAACAGATCCCTGAAGGGTATAAGTGGCACATGCAAAGACCCATTTGATGCCAGCAGTGAAGAGCAGCGAGGAGGAGCAGCCAGGTAGCCCCTTGCTGCCACCTCCCACAGGGCCACCCTGCCCAGCAGCCAGCCTGGGCTCACCTCTCAGCCCCAGTTGATGGGAATCCAAATGTAAGTTGCATTTAGAGTAAGTATTACCCTCCACTTCCACAAGGTGCCATTCTCCAGAGGGATGGCAGCACATGGCCTGGCCTTGCCTTGTGCCCCAGCCCCAAGATGGGACACCAGTTCTGAACTTGTTGTGTGAAGGCTCAGCAGAGTCCTCTGTCCTGCTGTCCTGCCTGACTGGAGAGGGCCAGCAACACACCTGCCTGAAACAGCATGGGGCTGTGCGAGATGCCCCTGCTCTTGCTTTGTATACTCCAGGATAGTAATTCTTGCTTTGGGATTGTGAAGTTGGCCTCCCTTACACTGCCATCTTTTTTTTTTTTTCTTTTTTTTTTTTTAAGACATTCTCAGTCCTATCAGGTGGAGGCGAAAATCGACCTGAAATGAGGGGAAATTCTGCCCCCTCAGATACTCAGGGTGCAGAAGGTTTCTTTCCTTAAAATGTGACATTGCTTAGAGGGATGTTTGATTAAATGCTTGTGGCCCCAGATGGCTCAAAACCTGGTATTTTGTGGTCACCCTATTCCTCTTGCTCATGCAAAGGAAGAGGTTCATGGCTCCAGCCTTCTACTGTGACTTGCGTGGCACCAATGACACGACCGTTAACAGTATCTTGCAGGTGGCGTTTGCATATTTCAAGCAATACAGTGAGCAGATATGGGTAGAGATTAAAAAAAAAAAAAAAGCGGATTTGCATATAGGCTCTACTGACTGATTCTGTATAAAAAAGACCTACAGCACTGACTGACAGGAAAAAAAAGCTTTTCACATATGCACATAATCAAAACCATTCATAGTAGAAGTTCCTAATAATGTTTAGATCTTTCTAACAGCAAGTGTATTCTTATATATTAATCAAACATCAACTAGGGATCAAATGAACTTCTAAGAGACTTTAACTAAACAAATAGGCCAAGAAGGCCAACAGGATCCTGGGGTGCATTAAGAAGAGCGTCTCCAGCAGGTCGAGGGAGCTGATTGTCCCCCTCTACTCAGCCCTGGTGAGGCCACATCTGGAGACTGTGTCCAGTTCTGGGCTCCCCAGTACAAGAGGGATGTGGAGCTGCTGGAGAGAGTCCAGCGCAGGGCTACCAGGATGATCAGGGGCCTGGAACATCTGCCCTGTGAGCAAAGGCTGAGAGAGCTGGGCCTGTTCAGCCTGGAGAAGAGAAGGCTGAGGGGGGACCTGATCAGTGTCTATAAATACCTCAAGAGAGGCAGTGAGGAGGAGGGGGCGGCCTCTTCTCTGTGGTGGCCAGCGACAGGACTAGAAGAAACGGCCACAGGCTGAGGCACCAAAAGTTCCACAGGAACTTAAGGAAACACTTTTTGACAGGGAGGGTGACAGAGCCCTGGCACAGGCTGCCCAGAGAGGTTGTGAAGTCTCCTTCTTTGGAGATCATTAAAACCTGCTTGGATGCAGCCCTGTGCCACATGCTCTGGGTGACCCTGCGTGTGCAGGGGGGTTTGACTAGATGGCCTCTGAGGTCCCTTCCAACCTTAAGCATTCTATGAAATGAGAACAAGACCCTTAGCCCAAGTAAAGAACTGTCTCCTGGAGATCCCAGGGACACCTGCAGTACCCAATATTTAATCTCCAGCTCTACCTTCTTTTGTGAAACTCCCCCTCTTACTCGTCCCTTTCCAGCTCCCTCCCAATAACAGCTACTCCCTGCTCTACCAAGCACTGATGCACCTCCAGCCACCCCCATACTTCCCAATGGAGGGAGCTCTCACCCCTCATATTAACTTATTCAACACAGCTTATGTTTTACCAAGTGTTTTCTGTAGCCACATTTGCCTATTTAGGTAAGGACAGTGTTTTAGACTCACTTCAAAAAACAAAYTAGCAGAAGGGTCAACAGGTTTTTCCTACCTCTTCAGGAACAAAATGTGATGGAAAAGGCCTCTAAGGGCAAGACTGCAATTCAGCCTGAATGCAGGACATCAGCCAACGGAAGAGGAGCCGCCAGGAGAGTTCACAACACAGAGGAAAAGAGCCTGGGCCTGTATGCTGACACCTGGCATGGAGTGAGAGAGGGCTGCTCTGCAGGTCTTCATTATTTTGGCATTAAAAAAAAATGCCCACACCCAATTTCATTTCTGTCATTGGCCTCTCACGCTGAACCTGGTGCAATGCAGCCCTTGGGAGTAAACCCAGGTTGCAACTCCAGGGCGTCCCAGTTCCCTCTGAGGGCAGGCCCTGCTTACTGCTGTGATCTGCCAGGGGGTGCCCGCAGCCCCCCGGACACTGCACCCACGAGGACCTCAGTCCTGCAAAGCACARTGTGGATTTTCAACAATTTACTGGAGAATAAGCTGGTGAAATGGAGAGAGAGGTCGTGCTCCATTATTTAATGGCATGTTTGTGGAGATTGGGC